GTTGGCACGCTGATAACAATTATTTTTTTAAATGGCACTTCATATCAAAAAGGTTGCCGACCCCTGGTCTAAACATTGCTTTTTTCCTATATTTTTAGGGAGGAAAAGTGACAAAAAAGAGCAAAACATTAGTTGGAAGTAACAGCACTGGAAATGTCAGGTAAGATTTGACGTATGGTTGTGCGAGGTACTTATCCATAGTCAGTATATCACACAATAGATGGACATTTGGAGAAATCGACTAGAGTACAAGGATGAAGAAAATGTATGTGGATGAGGCCAGCAGCAAAACCTTATTAACCCACATAAGAACTACACTACCTACCTGATGTATATTTAGATTTGAGAGCCTTGAAAGGCGCCTATATAAATAAAATGCATTATTTATTTTTTTGCTTTACCTGGCTAAAATACAATACACATTGTGGTACTTGTACTCATGTTGTCTCCAAACTGCCATCTTCTGTATATAAACCTCATGCTGTATAACCATGCTTCAAACAACCTTTATTTATTGTGTTGTAGTGTTTGGTAAATGAGTATTTATGCATTGACACTGCCTTTATTTTCTCCAGGGTTACCCCAGCCACTGCCACGAGAACTCAGAGCCTCTTGGCCAAGAACAACGAGCAGACCCGAGCAATCAAACCGAAACTCAGGTCTGGTCCTGTCTGCAGTAGAGCGGCCATGTTCTATAGCCTTTACAATGCAGGCATGGAGATTGTTTTTATTCTCAATAATTGTTCACGTATTTTAATGGATTGTGTCCCAGGTCTGTGGTCTCTGCTGGAGATCTGCACTGTTCCATGGCCGGCTCTGCTGCACACGTCACTGTCACCACAGCACAGGGACAGGTACTCTACACTTTGCACCAACTGGAAAAGGGCAACGCTGTGTCCTTATTTTTGTTCAAAGAAAGTGAATTTAAACCAAGCCTTCCTTACCCGAGGAGACTTTTCAGTTTTAATGTAAGAGCTGAATATACCTGGATTATGATCTGAGCCACTAACTTGTATGCATGTGTTGTTTTCAGGCCCTCTCCTTTTCTGAAGAGACGCAGGATGACATTGACGTTGACCTGCTGGATGACGTAGCATTTTGCCAGTTTCGGAGGCTCACGGTAGTACTTTTAAATTCAACTCACTGTGTGATGAGTTATCTCATTTTCAGAAAAGGTTAAAAGCTTTGTATATTGCTAAACCTTTGAAAAACATCATTCATTCTGGGTTTTCAGAATTTGATGGACAATCTGTTGAGGCGAAGGCGCTGCCAGCGATAAAGATCAACTGACCAGCACTAGTTCAACTGTTAATGTATTATGAAATGAGTCTAACAGTTTGTTTTTAAATTTTAATAAAGCTCATCTTTTTTTTTATTCTAAATGATTGTCATTTAATGATCTAGTCAGTAGAATGAGTAAATGCCCTTCCCAATTTCAAAATGTATCAAATGCATGGATGCAGAGAATAGAATTTGATTAACTTAATTTGCATTGCTAAGATGTAGATGGGGGTGTTAAAACATGTGAGAGAATTAAAGGCATAGCAAAGTGGTGAAAAAGATGTACTTTACTGGACATGATTAGGATTTTTATTGTGGGTAATTGTGTAAAAAACTTGAGATCTTGCCGTGTGTATTTAATGAATAGGTAAATATTAGCCATTACTTTGTCGCCTCTAGACTAGAGAAACAAAAGCAAATTCAGATGTTTATTGTGAGGGGAAACAAGCTAATTGTAATATTAATTCCAGTAAGTTTATGTAGAAAGCACCAGATTGGGGGGCAAATCAAATGCGATTTTAGCAATCATTACACATTTAAAAAAAAAAAGTATAAAATAGCATTGACATGGAATTAAGAGAGTTCAATCTTTGCCTAAAAAGCAAAATATGCTACTTAAAACATGAATGCATTTCTATCGCTGATGGGACTGCAGCGACTCCATCTCCACCTCCATGGGCTCCTGTCGCTGTGATTGGGCGTAGGTAGAGCTGGAGGACGAGGCGCGTGAAGCCGGTGTGTGAGGGGGCTCCGGGGCCATGTGGGAGTAGAAGGGCCCGACCAGCCAGTTGAGCGGCGTGTTGTTGACCAGGTAGTCCATCACGTTGTCCAGGGAGTCCTTCATCCGGCCCAGCTGCACCCTGCTGGTGCTCAGCACGCTGTCAGGCAGCTCCCTCAGGGTGGAGGCTGCACTGAAGCTGCCGTACACCTGGGAGGCGGAGCAGCTCAGGGACAGCGCCTCCTGCTGGATGTGGAGGGGGAGACCCTGCAGGCCGGAGACCAGGCCCAGGCAGGTGGTCTGGAGCTGCTGGGTGAGGGAGCGGGCCAGCGTCAGGGTGCGGGACTCGATCGCCTGAGAGGAGGGGGAGGGACAGGGACAGATTTACATCACCTGACATACTTCACCTTCAAGAAACAAGGGAGGTGCAAGGTTGTAATAGTTTTGAATAGGATTTATTTTAGTTCAGACTTTTCTGTATGTCAGTTTTCAGGTTTAGTTTGCTAGTTCAAGTTTATATCTTTAGTTTAGCTGTAGTTTTGTGTTTGTTATGACACTATCTCACTAGCATGTAGCTACACAAACATAGGTGTAGGAATGGCCATAACATTAAACTCTTTTGATTTGGTAATCAACTTGAGTTGTCCTTAATTCCCAAATGTGGAAGATAATAACTTTTAGAGTTAAGTTGAATAGTTAAAAGGCATTTGATAAATCATGTTATTAATTTTGCAAGACTATTTTATAACCAATAGTGATTCATTTTGGAGCCTTTAAGCAAAGCTCAATCTGCTTGATGGTCAAGTCTGTGCAGTTTCTGTGGTCTAATGTCCGGAGAGCTGATGTAAAACCCTGCTCTTTTTTTCCTGTAGTATAATGGCTAAAAAAAACTATATTTCAAAGAAATATCAATACTTTTCTTTTTCTTAACAGGATAATGCTTTAATTTAGTTAACTATAATAACCCTGTATTAACCCTGGTGTGGTATAATCCATAAAATAGACTAATGTGATCTCGTTGTGTGTTAGTGTTACCTCTGCCTCGTGACCGTTGTGCTGGTTTGGACCGTTGGACTTCCACACAGACTGAGAGTTCAGTTTGTTGTTCACCATCTGGGTAGCCCCGTCAATATTCCTCCTGCCATATTCGATCTAGATTTTTTTTTAAAACATACTTTATTAGCCTCTCACCATAAGCAGTAGAAGAAATGACATTATAAGCCACTTTAGGGCTGAATGAAGTTATTTTTATTACCGGTGTGCAGTTGTAGAAGATTGTGTGTGTCAAAGGACATTTGTCTTTATTGTAAAGTGTCTGAATGTATGACTCTGACTAAAGAGACCCACCAGGTCGACGGTGGAGTTGAGCTCGGAGATGAACTGCACGCTGCGCTGCTTGCGGTCTCTGATGTTGGCCAAGGCTCTGGTGTACGCTCTCTTCCGGAGTTTGGTGGAGAGGGAGCCCAGGCGGACGTAGTAGCTCGCCTCCTCCCGGTCAAATCCTGTCACAGTTTCTGCCTCCAGCTCTGTCACCAGAGAGGGAACATCAAAGTTAGGTCACACAAAATCTGATAACAAGTTATTTTATGATTTGACAGTGTTGCTTCTCTACTGAATTGAGTGCTGGAAATGACTGTAGTTTATTGCAATGTAGTTATACACCTGTCAATTCCTTTAATAAGATCCATTGTTTTATGTTATACATTTTTTCATGGGATGCCATAATTCACTGTGAACAAGGATGGCTTTAATGATTGAAAAACTGGCCACTAATACAGATATTCATTCTCAGAAAAGTCAGATTGTCCTGGAAACTGGTTAATAGGTGACCCTTCATAAAGCTACTACAGAGCCTTAAGCCCTTTATTTATTATTGATTGCTTTTTCAATATATATCTATTGATGTAATTGTTTTTTACATCCACTTTCTAACCATTAACATTACAGACTGTTTCCACCTCCAAAATATTGTAATTTATTTTCAGAAAAAAGACAAAATGCACAATAAACAAAGTAAAAGATCAATTCGACTCAAAATGTTCTATTTCTATGTAAAAGTTGATCTCTATCATGAATTATTTTGGACAGTCAGTGTTTAGTGAGACTCTGTATTGTAAAAATAAATCTGAACAGCCACTAAGAGGTGATCAATTATTGGACTTTTCACCACGCCAGTTAGAAGAAAAAAGGGATGCCTGTGTTCAGTGTGTAGATTAGTAGTTGTTTGTCCCCTCACCCAGCTCGTCCTCCGTCAGAGGCAGGTACTGCTCCACCAGGCTCTCAGACGTGCTGAGGGCGGAGTCCACGCCGCTGCTCACCATCCGGGCCACTCTGCTCTCCAGCACCGTGCTCACACTCACACTGACCGCAGCACGAGTCTTATCCATCCCATCATACACCGCGCCCCGCACACTGCTCAGAGTGCCCGACACGGAGTCCTTGGCCCCGGACACTCGCTCCGTCACCACCCCTGTAGCCGTGGTTACCACATCCTTGGCACTGGAGATAATCTGGGCAAGGAAAGAGCAGTGGAGGACGTGACTCAGGACAGATACGACATTGAGCAATTTATGATTCTCTAATCTGACCTTTGACTCATGTTGCTCATTCAGAACAGCTCATACACAGGTTAATATAGGTTACTAAAACTCAGCTTGGAAAGTAAAACTAAGTGTGAACAATGTAATAAAAGACTGTTTAATTACAAAAATGTACAGGAAATGTTTTAGCCTTTTATCAATTTGGTCAAATCTATTACTTGATCAATTGCTTGTTTGTATTTAAATGTTTCTAAACGTTCTAAATGTTACTCCTGACATACACCCCCATTCAATATATATATTTATATATTTTCCATCTCCACCTCCATGGGAGGACGAGGCGCGTGAAGCCGGTTTGTGAGGGGGCTCCGGGGCCATGCGGGAGTAGAAGGGCCCGACCCGCCAGTTGAGCGGCTTGTTGTTGACCTGGGGGGCCTTCATCTGGCCCAGCTGCACACTTAGTTTTCACTTTCCAAGTTGAGTGTATATATATATTATTTTTTTAAACAAATGAATACTGAATCTGATCGAAACTCAAAAAAAGCTACTTTAAGACAAAAGATGTTCGACCAATACTAACTAAACCTTACCGAGCTGCAAACTGAATTAAAAACAAATAATTAATATAAAATTAAATATTCAAAACTATTGTAACTCTTGTTCATACCTGCTCAGATGGCTGGTGAAGAATTGGCAACGTCTTCTCGATTTTATCCAGACCTTTGCAGGCCAGGTCATTGGCAATGGCAACTATAGGCAACAAAAATGTAGAGAAGTAAATAAGCTGCTAAGAGATTATAAATGTAATCTGAAAATACTAGAGAGAAAAGCGCTTAAATGTTTTTTTTAAGTAAAAGAATTAGGGTAATTCTGAGTAAACACAGAAACTAGGTGAAAGATCATGGTGAGTAACAGCCTGACGTGAACTTCCTGTTTCTCCTCTGTGTGACTCAGCTGCACTAAATGTATCCATCAGTTTCAGGATTTGTTTTGAACTGCTACACACTTTGTGATGTATAGTGAAAGAGGTTTCGTACTCTGCGGCTCCAGCTTGTCGATGATGGGTGAAGCGGTGGTGAAAGCCACAGAGGTGATGGTGCGCACTCCCAACTCCGCCGCCTCACACACACTCTTTAAGTAAGGGTGTGTGTCCTTGGTGTTGGAGTACACGCTGGACACCAGGCCGTAGGTGGAGATCACCAGAGGGAGGCTGGTCACCCTGTCCACCACACTCTGAGAGCAGATACAAAGAGAGGAGGCTTAACATACTTAAACAAACAATTAACTCTGTTTTAAACTTATAATATAACCTGATGTTTCTAAATTGATTATACAGGTTGATTAAACGATCCACAGAAAAATCTTGATGACTGAGTTATTATTCTTCATTAATAAATGTTGCTTTTATTATCTATTTTTTCTGTTTCTGTTCAATACCAAGATAAATAAGATACCGGTGGGCTTTGGACTGACAAAACAATACATTTAAAATAATGAAATAATTGGAAGAATAATCAACTTATTGCAGCCCTATTCTCTATTCCAATTCGTTGTCAAATAATATTTTTTTAAAAAAACGTAGAATATTTCATACTTTTAAAATGTAAAACATGTTTGTTTTCAATTTAAATATTGAGGCTTAAACCATTTTCATCACTATGTAGGCTATTATAACTTACATTTGTTGTTGCTTTGCTTCAAAAGCAGTTCTTCCTCCAGCAAAATATTAACTAGGTAAGCTCAATAATAATGTACCGTAAACAGTATTTATTATAATAAACTCACCTGGTTAGAGATAACTGCAGCTTCTTCCATGTCTGCTAAAACAAAACCTACAGAGAGAAAAGACACTATGAATACGGTGTGTTCAAAATAAGAAACAAATGTATTAACCCAATCGAATAGGCTACTTAACAAAAGTGAAAAGTCTATTACTTCCGTATTACAGTCTGTCCTTAAAACATTATTACATGTCCCGTAAGTTCACATAAACAGCGGAACTATAGTGAGAAAGCTCATAAATAAACTTAAAAGATATAAAGGTAGAGACTCACCGATAGTTTTAGTTCGTCCAAACTGTAAATGAGCTGACTGATGAAAGTGTGAGGCGACAGCAGCTGTATTTATGTAGTGCTGTTATCGCGAGATGTGACGCGGCACAGTGACGTCAACGTCAGTAAAGTTTCTGGGCCAAAGGTAAAACGGGTAAAAGTTTAGTCGGGGAAATTCCTCTCAGGCCAGCCGTCACGTGGACAGCGGTCATATTTCTGAAAATGTCATAATCAAGGGAAATGTTTCTGTCTAATGAGGATTATTAGGGTTTTTGAATGTCTGGTCAATTAGGCCTACCGGTATTTGAAAAACATAAATTCATCCATAAGCAACAGCTTTTAACTATTGATAGTTAGTACATTTCAGAAAGCATTTGTTTATATATTGTTAATGCTATAAATGCTAAATTGTCTATGCCCAGTAAATATTATTATTATATTTATTGGCATATTGCTGGTCTTAAAACGGCATTTTCATACCTATTTGAACAAATAATCGCTACTGAGTAGGGATACTGTTCTTTAGTGGCTTGTGTTCTAGAACAAATTAGCAATTGATCAAATTATCAGTGTACACATGTGTACACAGAGTGGTCATGGAGACAGCTTTGAGTACACAGGACTTTGTGTGGCAGCAGGGCAGACAGGGCTCTTTTTTTGTTACAAATGTAGGGGTAACTAAATGTTATGGCACCAAACCACATGATTTATAGAGTACCTTCACAGTCATAATGGTTTAAAGACCATTGGATGAGATGATATTAATTGTGTTGGTCACCAAGCTTTAAAGGCTTTGACGAAATCAAGAGCCTTTGAATTAGTTTATATATTCTATATATCGGCTTTGTCAACATTCACTTGCATTATCTGTAAAGATTGCATAGATGCTAATAAAGGAAATGCCAGCCCATATTTATTGGCCTAAAAAATTAAGTTTAGTATTTTGTGCTAAATAAGAGTTTTTATAATAGTGTTTGGCAATGTGAGGGTATATAGGCCAACTGGGACTTTGTGTGAACATTGTATGAATACAATGCATATCATGCAATGCATTAAGCCTTATAAAAATGTCTTCAACATTTTCCCAGGATGAGTTTTAAGGCCTTTTTACAGTAGCTTTTCGCAATAGAAAAAGCAGGTGTTACTAATAACACTAACTATGGTTTTGTTATATTGGACAATGACATCATGTGTTTTGCTGCGATGTAATGTCACAAAACACAAAAAGTAGTTTTTATGATCTATATCTTTTTAATCCTCCATGTCAGTTTTTTAAGGATAGTGTTGTAGCTGAATACTTGCTATGACGCTATTTATGAGAAACATTAGTGGTGATATTTTGGAATTGATGAAAGACATTTAACCAAACACTCAACTAAATGGCCTTTGTAGCCCCAAACGTCAGTGGTTTGTCCGCAGATGAACAGCTCTGTGTTTGCCAGTAGCTCGACGAAGCCAGATTTGTGACTGCAAATAATTATTGTGTTATTAAAAATGTAAATGAAGTGTTAAGGCAGCAACACATTTGGATGCCAGATGAGGAAACATGGGCTCAACTCAAATTTTCCAGTTGGCGAACATTCAATAGATGGACCCTTTAGGGCCCATTTATCAGTCCTCGCAACTCTAATAGACGGCGTATGAAAATATTTCCTGCAGTAAAACACAGACTTTAATTGTAATAAAATTCTGTCTGAAGGAAGTTCGTGGGAGAACATTTTAAGTGAGGTGTCATTTATTTAAGAACTATAAAACTATAAAGGAGTGACAGTCACACACAAACGCACACACACACACACACACACACACACACACACACACACACACACACACACACACACACACACAGATACCACGTTTTGGTGGACATTGATCTGCTCATATTTTATTGTCCACGTCTTACTTATTTAGTTGCATTAATAATGTGATGTGATTGCGAGCAAAGTACAACCAGTTTATCAAGAATTATGACTCATCAGGAGTACATTTTATTTTCTCATGGCTGGATAGGTTAAAGTTCCCATGAAATGACCATTTCTACTGATCATAATTCCATTGTTGTCTACTAGAATAGATTTATATTGTGCAATTTTCCAAACTCACATTGGTTTCTCATACAGCATCTCTGTATAGTATGTGTATTCACTCTCTGTCCGAAACGGCTTGTTGGAGCTCCTACCCCCCCCCTCCCTGAGCCCACTTTGCTGATTGGTCAGCTCGCCCGCTCTGTTCTGATGAGTCCACCACCGTTACAGCGGAACATCAGTGATTATGTGTTACAATGGCGTTAGCAACCATAAAATGACACCAGTAATGACAAACAGATGAGAATGCTGTGTGGGGTCTGGGTGCCGTGTTGCAGTGGCGGCGCCAGAGATTTTCCTTTTGGGGGTGCTGTGGGGTAGCTTGACGTTTCATAGAGGGTGCTCAAACATTTAGGGTTTCCCATTAATCTACCGGGCGCTACAGTTGAATTTTCTACTGCAACACTCCCCACACGCACATACACAGTACACCCGGCCGCGACTGTTACAATCGATAATCAGCTCACGGCATATAGGTGTAAGCTGGGGTAAAGTGCTATTTTTTTTAAGTGTTTTTTTCTTTTTAATATTGAAATTAAATGTATCAATCTGGTGCACTTTGAGAGCAAAATTAAGAAATCTATGGATACCTCTCAACACCCATATGAAACAGAACTGTAAACAGATTTTCTTTTTCTTTATGGATATTTTACGAATCACTCCCCTTTTAAACTGTATTCTTGTTTTACTGTCATATAGTATTTCATACCTGTTTTTCATTTATGCTCTTATACCTATAATGATCATATAAACGTGTGCCTCGGAAATACTTATTTACATTAATCGTGACCAAACCGTTTGAGACACACTGAGATAGGCTAAAGTTAACTAAACACTGAGAGAGTCCTTTACTTCACCTGAGCTGAGGTTATCTGAGACTCTCAGTCCGACAGTAGAGAGCTCTCCCTCCACCTTGTTGTTGAAAAAGCTCAGAATCAATAATTTTTCAAATTATGAATTTCACACATAAAAAATAAAAAATACTTACATCTCTTGGGGGTGCTTAGGGGGTGCTATGGCTATGGGGAGCTTCAGCGTGGTTTGGGATTGGGCCTGAGTATGTGTGAGGAAGTCCGCGTAACGGCTCCGCGGACGTAACGTAACGGCTCCGCGGATTCGTCCATTTGGACCAATTGGTCCATTGGGTCCTCGTTACGTCACTTGGTTCCCGGAAGAAAAAAATGGAAAAATAAAAATCTCCAACGAGGCGATCTGGGGCAGCATAGACAGGTATTTTCTGTGTTAGAGTTTTACTCGCTACAGGGTGTACTTTGAGGGTTTGTGACACTCCAGACCGTTTACATGCATAACAAGCTACATAAGACACAAGGGGACGGTTAATAACCGGAAAAGCATGACATGGGACCTTTAAATTACCACATTTTTTTATTATTGACATTGATTGCTGTCTAATAATATTCCTTCCGTCTCAGTTTTTCTGTGATATGTTCAAACATGTATGATAGGCTATTGTAATGTTGACAACTTTTGAAACCAGCATCAGGGAAAATATTCTGTTTTAAAGTGCCATTTTACTGCCTAAAATAACTGCCCCTGTTTTCAAATCACTTGGATTCTGGTTAGATTCAAACATAAAAGTTACCTGTGGTCATTTGTATTTCCTAGGAAAATATATGGTGTACTTTAAATTGTATCACATGCTTTTTAAGCATCAAAGTGATTGAAAACCAATATTTTATTTGAGTTTGTCCGTATACATGATTAGCACATTGTGTAAATACATTTCAAAAGGACACACTCAGGGTCATTGTGGTTCAGTGATATTAGTTGATTTATTTCAATTCACCCGAGACTCTTGCTGTCTACCTGACTCTACCAGATTAACAAAAAGCCAGACACCCACAGCAAACTACACACTGTCTGCTCTCAGGGAAGATTATTTCAAAAATAAAAGCACAAAATGTTTGGTTTAGATTTTAATGCAATTACAGCCCGTTTGTGTCAAACTGAAATATATTAAAATCTAAGGCCATCTGTTTAACTTAACTTTGGGATTGCATTTTAGTTTTCCCTTCATGGATAAGCAGATATTAACCATTATCAGTCGTTGTTTTATTTTAAATATAGTACATTCAATTAGTATGTACATGATTTGACAGCATCACTGTGTTATCTGATGATTTAGCAATTCCTGCGTACTGTTCATGCTGCTGATATTTTTCATGCATACTTGCTAGTATTTGCAGAATTAGGCCACTAGATGTCAGCAAAGCAGCATGCAACATCACAGCCTGTTATTTTCCTCAAACGTTCTCTTCTTTGCCAACACTTGTATTACACTTTTGGCCCGTTAATCTGTTATTTAACTATTGACCAATGAGAAAATATTTTTAAAAAATGGTAGATTTTCATTTCGTAAGAATGATTTTTGCACATTTAGAAATGTTTTTGTCAAGGAAAAAATAAAAAGTTTGAAAGACTGAGAAAAACTATAATTACAAGATGAAATAATGATGAATACATTTAAAAAAAAAATTATTTTAAGAAATTCACAGATAGAAGTAAAAATTCAGACCTAAATCCTGTGAAGGAACACTTGTGAAAATATGTGACTAAGAGGGATTTACAGTAAAGGAGGATAAGGAGCTTGCCAGTCTGATCTCCTCGGAGAGTGGGGGCTTTAATCAGAGAAAGCCCGGTCATCCTTAGTCCTCAGATTTTAGACTGGTGAGCAGGACCTCAGATAGTGATCGTACGATGTCTGAAAAGGATCAATAATATCTTAAATCCAATCAAAAATCCACCATTAGCCAATAAAGAGAAAGAGGGGTAGTGCGCTCTCTTCTTTTGGTTTTGGTGAGGAGTCTTATTGATGCATTTATTCAAGATTCAAAGGCTGTATTTATATACATGCAAAATAGCCACAGTAAATAGTGAAAATTACACAATGGTAAATAAACAATACAAAATATGACGATTATAAAAAGAGAATATAAGAAATAAACAGTTTAACATT